AGGGGCAGCGCGGAGCAGGGCGGCAGGGGGGGCTGGAGCGCAGCGTCTCGCGGCAGCTCCTGTTACACAGCAGCTGCGCTGCCAGGCCAGCGCCAACACCGCGAGTCGGGTCGGTGAAATGGAGAACTGACGCAGGAGAAGGGACAGCGGGGGGGACAATCCCCGAACAGCGACAGATGGGTGAACGGCCTGGGGCTTGCCTGGTGGGGGTCTTCTTGTTTGTTCGTTCAAAGCTTCCTTAACTTGTGCAAACAGGATTCCACCCAATGCAAAACTCTTCTTCGAAGTGGAGCTGGTGGACATCGAATGAAACAAAGAGCGTCCCTCGCTGCTGGGAATCCGCCCAGGATGGAGACAGCTTCCGACACTGCGGTTTTGCTCGTGTAACTTCAGGATGTAGTTACGACTGTGGCCTTGTACTGAAATCATGTTTGTTCTCCCTGCCCCCCGACCGCTGTACAGTACCGTACCACTAAAGAAAACATAGTTTATACATGCAAGGGACCTCACTTTTTTGTGTGTACGATCACTTTCACACTTGTTTCTCTCTCTGCGGGGGAAGAGCTGCACAGACCCCAGCAGAGGGGTGAAGGAGCAGCAGCCCCGACTGCTCTCCCTTGCCAGGGTTTGTGGTCGAGCAGCTACTTCACTGCCCAGCTCGGGCCCTCAGCACTGCCCTTCCCTTCCAGCCGCTGAGTTTTACAGCAGTGCTCACCCCAAAAGTCCGGCTACCCGACAATAGGGGAAGAGGAAAAACTTTACATTTATATTCTAAATTTCTCCTTTTAAAGCATTTCATAGAAGTGTCAGGCATGATGCCCCCCCCCTTTCTAGAAGAGAACTGTAGGTGCCACAGACCCCCATCCCGGGGCGTTCCTGCCCCAAGGCACAGAAGAAATTTTGAACAAAACAGGCGTTGAGCTGCGATTCTGGCGTGCTTACTCCTGGTTCGAGCGAGGCAAGCCAAGAAAGCACAGAGGACTAGTGAATTCCTTTTATTACAAAAATGAGAATGATCACTTTGATCAAAATGAAAAAAGTTGCTCACACTGTGTACATGAAAAACTCCAAATACAAAAATCATCCCAAACACAGTTTGTGCTTTTTAAAAAAGAACGCAACATCATTTTGCACGGCCTTTTAATTTCTGACCCCCACCTGGAATAGAAAACGGAGCTCGCAAGGGCCGCCATCGGCAACGGCGGGAGGAGCTGCGGTGGCCAGCGGCGGGGAAAAACCCCAGAGCTACAGCTTCACTGGTGCAGTCCATGGAATCATGATGGGACCGAGCAAAATCCTTCGGCTATCTCCATAAATTTTTGCAGGGAATTGAAAAAAAAAAACGCATTTATGGTAAACTGGGATTGTACAGAGAGACCACGGATCAGGTACCAGCACACCAACCTGGCGTCACACAGACCCTGCGCACATCAGCTCATTTCACATGCAGAAGACCAAAAAGCGGGTATTACAACAGTTCTTTCACAGCCCTAATTTAGAAAAATATAATCTTTTTTTTATTCCATCTTTGTCGAAACTGCAGCGCGGCGAACTTCACTCACTCTTCAGATCAAGTTGGATGGTAATACTGTCCGTAGTTCCAGGCGTTCTGGTAATTGTACTGGAACAAAACAAACAACATC